ATAGCGCGAAGATGCTGCCTTTGAGGGCAGCTGTGGGCCGAATGTGTGGCTGACTAATCAAGGCAAACCTGCCTGCTGACAAACAACAGTTAGTGACTACCAGCTTTCGAAGCTAATAGCCTGAGAACAAGTTTGGTTTAGTAGTCTCTCTGGCTCTTCATAGTCTTGGACGGAGAAAAGATTGCGCGAAAAGTTGAGGTTGTTTTGACAGAGTAGCCGAGTGTGTAATTCTTCATGTGTTCCTTCTAGGATCGTGCGTGACTTCTGCAACCATTCCATAGCCTCAACGTGACGGCCGATTGAATCACATGTTATGGCGATGTAATTATAACAATTGGACAGTTCTAATCCTTGTGGAACACGCAAGCCGACCCTGATGGCGAGACTCTTCTTCCCCTGCCGCTCGGCTGTCTCGGAATCACCCTCGAATCTGAGACCTCGGATGCAGAGTAGAAGGAGGATATCGGCTTCAAGAAGAGGAGCTTTGAGATTCCCAGGTAACGTGGAATATGCCTCCCAACCGGAACCGATGACGAGAGACATGACGCCAGCTGCATCATTATCATGCACAAACCATACTCAATCAGCCATTATGTTGCAGAAAATCACGGTTTGTTTCAAGAAATCTGGTTCTCGTTGGGAGGATCGCCAGCTTCTCCCCAGGGAAGCGATCTGTTCGAGGTACCGTAACAGTCGTACCTCACCATCGAAGCCTCTCTTATTCTTTAATGGTGTTGCCCGCGACAAGCACTCCGCCTGATCGAGACGATGCAGCGAGAAATGGCTCGAACTCACATCGTGGACCTCCTCCTCGAGAAGCTTCATCTTGGTGCTGAGAATGGAATCTGAGTGCGCTTGCGCAATTTTGGGCTCTTAAAATACCAAGATATTCGGGCGTCAGAAAGAGTGCCTTAAAAAATAAATGTACCTTGGGGAGGGGCGGACCAGCTTGTTCGACTATGCAAAAAGGCAAAGAACGGATCAGCATCTTCAGCGGGGCATCCATACCTCAGTCCGCAGTCAACATCTACATGTGTTTTAGTCCCTGATCTGCAGGCTGAATAGGGACGTGTGTGACACCATGTCACCGGGTGTTGCATGACAAGGCTGGCATGCCAGCGTTGATATAAGAAACCCCGTTTCGCAGTGACAACCAGTGTTCATGTGCCCTGGACAAACTTGAAGCGAAGATCATCGACTTAGAGCAACTAGATTTGTGAACTATTTCTGAACCGTAGATTTCCGTAGGGACGTAGCTTAGATGTCACTGTCTGAAAACTTAGATGGATTCGAGACGAAGACGTTTTGATATGGGAGAATAGCGTGATGATGAATGTCGATCTCCGACTGCCTGAGACAAATGTTCATTGCGCACCGCCCTTCACATCTCGATGTTGACGCGGGGATATTCAAACTGCATTATCCTTGGGATGATACTGCACAGTAGAAAAACAAAATAGAAAACCCTGTCAACGTGAAAGTTGTCCATGAAGCCACAGTAAATGTAGGCATCCGTACGAATAATCCAGACAGATGCCAAAAAAGGCAAGTACAAGTATAAGCACGCGGCAATTCAGACGTCTAGGCCGACAGAGTTTTCGAATACAGGCATTATTTCCAACAGATCCAACTTTTGCGAGGAAGAGAGTAACGATTGCGAAATAGCCATTGCCACTCTAAAGCTATTCTGTAACATCGAGTGGTCCCGCCCGAGTTGTTGAAACTTGAGCCACTCTCATCCTTAGCGGAAACGATCTACCTAAAGCGTATGTTCCCAAATGTCCAGACAAGCAAGCCGACCCTCATCCCGCAATGTAAGTACCCGAGGGCCTGTCGTTGCACCGGCCTCCCGGCGAAACGCACTGGTAGGGATCGGGGACGAAGTCGGGAGACACGCAGTCATCCACGTAGAACCGGATATAGCTGCCCGTGGCCTTCTCCTCGGCCGTGATAAAGATACCATCACCAGTGGCACCGCCTTCCCACCGCATAGTCCAACTTTCGCACCCGTTGATGTCGCGTCTGTCGTCGGGGTTGTAGTTGTTAAAGTTGTCAATACACTCCTGATCCCAGTTCTGATAGCTGTTGTTCAGACAGCTCGCGTCATCGGGACCATTCAGTCTGACATTGCAAACGGGGGAGCAACAAATTCCTAAGCCACAAGGCGCGTTCAAAGACGCGTCTGTGATTGAAATGGTAAAGTCGCTCGCGTACGCAGGGTCCCGAGCGGCAATGTCTTTAGCGGGGTCCAGGCCACCCGAGGCGAGGCCACCCGAGGCAAGGTCAGATGAGGGCTTGATGGTCTATGGCGATTCTCAGTCAGTTTGACTGAGTCAAATGCGGACAGGATCATCCTGGATATCCCATGTTGAGATTGTAGTGCAACTCACCCGAGACACGGCTTGGTCAAGTAGACCTAGTGCAAAGGTTGCAGCGAGGAAAGATCGAATAGAAGGCATTTCGTTGGCGCTGTGAATTGTGTGTAGAGATCCAGGTGAGGCAAATGGTCAAAGGCGGTAGAGTTGTCTGTTTCGATCAGAGTGGACATCCAAGACGGGATCGTTGACTCCTTTTATACTCGAGTCCTGGATTCGGTCGGCTGTGCTCCCCCATGACTGATAATGCACCTGTTTGTCCGACTCGAGTCGAATGCATGGATTTGATGCCATCGAGATGTCATTCAGGAGTCTAATCACGTCCTCTGATGCTCAGACTGACGGCTCAACATGCCCAAGTGATATCGTACATTGAGGCTGTCGCATAAGTCTGTATGCTGATGTCAGCCGAGATCTGTAAGTTGCGGCATCTCCGCATCAACAATCTTCGATCCCGCAATTTACTAGACTGTCAATGCCATGAATCGATCGGGAACCGGCGAGGATAGATGAATCGTGACGTGGGCCAACCCCGAAGGATTCGCCGAGACATGGATTGTGTAGCATTATTGATCAATGTTGGAGCGTCTACCATGGCCGCTCCACCAGCCATCAAAGAACAGTCGTATTCCTACATGATTCAAGGCAATCGGAAGTGTAGGTTCCGAACAACCTTGACCGGGAGATGTTCTGTCACGATAGCCGCGAGTCGATAACCCTGCAAGATATGACCACAATATGACGATCATGGTAATTCAAAAAAAAAAATTATAAAAATCAGAATCGGGAAACCATCGAGGCTATATGGCTGTCATTTCTTATAGGAAGGAGGCTGGTAGTATCTAGAAGGTTATGCCTTCGCCTCCCGGTTGTGAAAACGTAGTTATTGTTCGTCAGATGTTGTAATTCCTTTCTTGAAGCAAGCACAATGTTGATAATTCCATATTACGTTCCCGGATAATGGTCCATATTTTATGGATTATTTACGAAGCTATTAAAATCCCAGGCCTACCAACATATGATTTTTGTGGCTGGGGCCCCAAGAAAGGGGGAAAAGGGGAGGGGGGCCGGGGAGGTGAGACAATTAGATATCCAAAGTTTATAAGAGCTCCACCTAAGTGAGTACTAAATCCAGAAGCGCTGTTAAATGTTTCCGGCCTTTTTATGTTCAATCTCTGGTAGCTTTGGGGCGACAATAAGCTCCTAGCTTGGATACCAGTATAGCGCGATCCTCTGCAGGTCGTGGGTCAACACTTGGTGATTATCCAAGGCAGGAAATTTGCTACCGTCTTGGCGGGCTGCACCACATAAACCATGTTAGCGCATGGGAGAAACGACGGATCGGCACATTGACTTTTGTATTCAACCAAGTTTCCAACAGTGCTGGCCACCTCGCGCGGCCAGAAGTCCACGTTGTACTTAGAATGTCCGCTTTAGAGAGTAAAGAGACACGCAACGCAAGATTTCATTAGAACATAAAGGCACAACGGAAGATGGAATGCCTGCATTGGGTACCGACCCTGGGAACTTTGTCCATCAGTGGCTGGTTTCTGTTGGAACCGGATAGCGTGCTGGTGATTACAGTCAATGTACTTCTCCGCCGACGCAGGACCGTGGGCTGTGCCATGGACGACATACTCGGGATATCCCAAGACCTGTGTCACTAGGGTGCTGTAGATTCGCGTCGTGTCAATGAGCGTCCATCCCTCGGGGGCCTGTGAAAAAAAGGCGAAGCCTGGGAGTGAGCACTGAGGACACAACGACGTCAAAGGCCACTTGCCCCCGCCCGGATTTTTCCTTCTCCGGCCACTGTTGTGCGCTTTGTGAGTGACGATGACGGGGCCGAACTTGAGAAATGATGATCCCAGCCATCCGTGGTTGATGAGAAGTCACTCGCCTATTCATGTCGCGCTGCTCCTTTTCCCAGTCAAGCTCGTACACCCACTGCTCTTTGAGGGATTTGGGCGTGTTCCATTCAATCTTCCAAGGGAATCCAAGCCCAGGACAGACGGTCTCTTCTGGTAGTATGGTGGAGTTGACGATGTTGAGCATGCGTGAGTCATTGTCGGAAAGGTCGACGCGGAGAGGTTGGAGATTGGACTGGTCTGCCACAGGCATCGCAAGGGCCAGCTTCGTAAATCTCAAGAAGACTTAGAGAGTAACATGATTGATGGGTTGCCAGATTTGAAGTGGTAGGGTAAGAGGATGACACTCAACTAGTACATGTAGTCGATGAGACTATCGATGAGGCCGATCGTTGTCTAATCCAAGACTATTGGTACGATTCGGAAAACTTCTTTCGATTACAAAACGGCAGCCGTGTTCCTGTAATGCATTTCTCCCCCAGCCTTTCAGTGTTGTACATTTCGCCATTGACGACGGCGTGGCCCGGTGGGTCAGCCCATTGTTACTCGCCAGAGGCTGGCGGCCGCTTAGGGAGAGGTCATTGATGGAGAGACGACAATGACCGAGGGCGACGCTGATCCACGTTCCACGCTCATCCGTACCACAATGGTTCAGTATGTCGATTGAGGCCTGCAGACTGTAGAGCATGTCCGTCACGCTGGCAATCGTGCCTCGGGAGCTGGCGCCTGTGTCCACTGTCGACTCTGGCGTCCTGGACGTACGTGTGGATGCCGCCCATGGTACCGGACGTCTCAGCCTTCGGGTTAGATGTTTCCAAGTCCCAGCTGTCAATCCCTTCTCTGAAGCTGCGAACATGACTCGATGCACTTATTGGGTCATGTAAAGCACCCATGTTTGTCAAAAGTCGACCAGGGATAGTCTGTAGAGTATGAACCAGTCGGGTCGCCGGCCGGGACCAAATGCGGTTAGTCGGGGAGAATGGAGCCACATTCCCGAATGCAGGGGAACAACTGTTAGTTAACTATGCTCTCGCGAATCGAAATACCCTATGTCTTGCGAGGATTGCGGGAGATACGCTCGGCCGCTGTCACCAAACAGATTGCCATGATGGCGGCTGGCATATCGCGCGAGAACAAGAGACGAGTCCTAAATACATGTGATGGGTGTCGAACATGTGTACCACGGTCGAGTTCTCGGCGACTTGACGGGCCTGCTGGCGCACGCTCCCGCGAGCACGTGTGCCCAGAAACGCTTCCATCGACTGGGACAACCACTCACGTGGCAGGCCCCCGGATCGGAAGATCTCAACTCCGGGAACGCTGGTGACCCAACACAATTCCCTCGTGCACCTTTTGCCCTTGCCTCCCTTCCTTGCACGGCTCCGAACGAGTAAAAGACCTGCATCAGTTCCGTTGTGCCCACTCTAGCTTGCTCTTCGTTGTTTGGTCTACCACTTGAATCATGTCCATCGTGGAAAAAAGCACAGCATGGCGACCTCACCTATTATCAACTCTGCATCTCTTCCAGACCCATGATTGAGCAAGGTGGACTTCCGCGATACCTCTTTCTTCCAGAAGAAGGAAGCCTTGAGATCACTCTCGCCTACGCCTGATGCCATTGTTCAAAGGTAGTCCGAAGATTGGTGAAGATGTTTTAATATTCAAAGAGCAGAACCTTGCTATCAAAGTTGGACAACCCTACATCGTCAAATTTTGCCGAGGCAATAACCATGCGAGCCAATAAACAAGCGTTTCCGCATAACGAGGTTCCAGTGCCGTAAGTCTTTGGCTGGAGAAAATATGTCAACCTTTACTTTTTATATATGAGCCATATTCCTGGCGTCACGTTGCGCGAGGCCTGGAGAGATTTTCAAGAACAAGATAAGGCGTGTGTGCAGTCAATCAGCTTCGCCAAGTTGTGTCCACCTTGCGTTGCCTTCAATAGCCTAAGTCGCCTCCTTTCATCGGTACCTATAATAAGTTGGGTCTTCTAATCGGCTGGTATCCTGAGTACTGGGAATACTGCCAAATGCCATTATGCTATCTATTATGAGCATGATTTCCGCGCAGCAGGTTGGGCAGAGACCATTATTATGCATCCATGGGGAGATGCGTGGAAGACATAGGCGGAATACGTTCACTGGCGAATGCCATGATACATAATGGCATTTCATGAACCCATGGCTGGTGGAAGCAGCGCGTGAATCTGCCTGGTGTATTTATCTATTTGTATCTGATCCCATCCATGTATGGGGGTGAACGATGCTTTACACAATCATGTCCCTTCCGCGCCGATGCGGTGGGATGCGGCGGCTTCACCGGATCTTCGTCGCTATCGCTTGTACTGCTGGAGACGCCGAGGCGGGCTGCAACACGGACGCGCCGGGAGACGTCGCCACATAGTGTTACGATGACGACTTCACTCTCTCCAATAAATCTGCGTCGCAGTGTCAGTACAGCCAATTAGACTCGAGCTGTCCATATCACACCTCACGCTGCAAACTTCTAAAAGATACAGCAAATTCACGGCAGCCATCCTTGCTGTACAAGTAGGTATATTGTCATCTACTCATTTGAGAGGGAAAGTTGTCTGATGCGCAAAATGCCTCCCTCTATCCGCCACTCTGTGAAACGAGTGTGGTAGTCATGGTATATCAGTCCATCCAAAAATACAAAATCCAACTCCAAATAAACGCCGTAGGAAATGTCTCCTCTGCGATCAATTTCCGCCAAATGGGGAAGACCTCGTCGCGCGAGTTCCCAATGCTTCGCTTCCCGGACGCCACGTTCTCCCATACAATGCGAGTGAAACACATCTACACGGCAGGGCTCGTGGGAAACCTGCCGCCAGATGCGAGACCCGTGTATGATGCTTAAACTGGAAAATACAAAAGCACAAGCAAAGCAGTGGCGCACTGCTGGTTCATAAAGACATGATTGTTCTCATAGCGCAGAACAGTGAAGAAGTAAGAGGGGATTCAAGCCCATGCTGGTGGGCACGGCATGTACCCTTCACGCGGCGGACGGGCTGAGGAACCCTAGGCCTGAGCGGTACCGTACGGGCCGCGTGTGTGGTAGGTGCTGAACTGGACGTCGTCGGCCCGGATCGGCTTGGATTCCTTGTAGGCAGGATAGTGACTCCGGGCAGGCTCGTACGAGTACCCGCCGTCATAATAGCGGCTGCGCTCGGGAACATCCCGACCGTAGTACTGCTGGTTC